GATGATATATAAAAACATAGCTCTGTGAACAAATCTCAAATATATATGTAGAATATAAACTAGAACGAAATATTAAGCAATATGAGCAACGTATAAATAATAGGTTTAAATAGAGAAGAGAAGAGACTGCAAACTCAGTTAATAGATGTTCAATGCACCACTTGTGCTAATGTTCTCATTCACAAGTCAAAAACTTGAAATTTCACTACTTTTGTCGACCTCCTACATTACGCTAGTTGTTGTTGATATCTAACTCATTAAATATTTATATATCTTCAGCATAAGAATTTTCTAAAGTTTCTTCAAACCTTTCCTACAATAAAGTAGTTGCTCTTAGTGTCTAGGTCACCATACACTTGTATATCCTCAACACAAGAACTTTTTAAAATTTTTTTCAAATCTTTCTTACAACACACTAGTTATTCTAGGTGTTTACTTCACCATAAACTTGTGATTCTCAACATAAGAATTCTCTAAACTTTTTTCTCAAATATTTTTTATTATATTAAAAAATATATAGCAGAATATTACAACTTTATTCTCTCATGTAGTTGATTTACAAGTAAAAAACATACTTAGGACTCAATGGATGATCAATAGAATAAAACAATTTTCTTTTTTATTTTCAAAATTAATTTTTATGAAGGTTATAAAATTTATAAGAATGAAATATTCAAATGCATAGAAGCAAAAGATAATCACTTCAGGCTTTTTAGAAATTAAATCTATCATTTAGAAGATTAAAATTACATAATTTAAGAATGTAAGATTTTCTTGTATAGTCTGATCCTACATATAATATTTACTTTAAGAATCAATATATTTTAGTTTATGTGCAATCTTTGATTAGATTCATGAGAATAACACCTTCTAAAGTATCCAACATCAATAAAAGTTGTCTCATATAAAACAATATGATTTATGACATAGATTTACGAAAATTATATTCTTTGACACATCCAATGTTAATAAAGGTCATCATCTATCTTAAATTGGGTGTTCTATAACGTGATTTATGGAAACATATATTTAGACACGTCAAACATTGAAGTCTCATTTATGTGTCAACTAGGAAGTGATTCATTGAATTATATCTCATTACACACCCGTCACTTAAGGCAATATTTTATTTGTTTAAATATGTATTTCTATAAATCAACTTAATTAACACACCAATTATTATTATTATTATTTTTTAATATTTTACTTTGAAATTCCTTCCACATAAGATTTTCATTTTAACACATAGGCAAAATAAATTAACAAAAAATATTTTTAATAAATTTTTTTCTTTGAAAAATAATGATAAAGTATTTTCAAAAAAGGTAGAAGAACTTTTATTAGTGAAAAAATTAAAAGGTGAGTAATCAAATATGAGTTATCTAATTTATATAGAAATTAAATAAATTTAAAATAAAATTTACTCTTGATCTACAATTTGTTTCTCATCATGTTGATGTTCTTACGGTCTTTCATAAGTTATTCTGCTTTCTTGAGTCAAACAATGCTTTTTAGTTTAAGATTTTAATTGGTATTATTAGCACACAAAAAATAAGTTTAAGTCATTTATCCGGATCAATTATCCAAGTACAACAACCTTACCCCTTTTTTTTATGAATGACAAAACTAAATTTTTAAAAACACATATACTTAGTAGAAAGCATTCTAAGATGTATCTCCCTTTCACTAAGTACTTCATAATTATTTTGTTTCAATACACAAAATAAGCAATATTACACTTTATTCCTAAA